ATTCATTTGATAAAATTTATATATTTATTTTAGAATCAAATTTAAAGAAGAATTATTTTCGTTTTATATTTTAAGTTTTAACTGTCAAAACACAAATAAAATCTATTTTCATAATTATTCTGTAAAATAGTTTTAAGAAAAACAAATTCAAAATACAATGAAACAGAACATTTATTATCATAATAGTAGTTTTTGCTAGAATAACGGTGAACGAGGACCACCAATGACAGATAAAATCAATAAATAAGATTGAATTGTATTTATCAAAGGTATTTAGTTAATTTTTCATCAATAATTGTAAAGGAATATGTCACCTAAAAATTTAAAATATTAGGTGAAATTGTATTAATAATTTTATATTATATTTATCTAATATGTCTCCTCACGCAATATAATAGTCAATAGATAAAGGATATTGAAATCAATAAATGAAACACAAATATTTAATGTAGAAAACCCTCAAACAAATAAAATAAAATAAAAAACGGGATAAGAATAGAAAAACTTTATTATTTGAAACCCAGAATTACATCATCTTTTTAATGGGATAAGATATTGTGACACCCAAGTTATGTTACACCCATGTGACACCCAGTCAATCTCACCGTTAGATCGCTTATGTTGATCCAACGGTTATATTTATTTCCATCTTTGTATGGTCATGATTTCCCAAATTTAAAGTGAAAGCATTAAATATGAGAAATCATAACCATACAAAGGTAGAAATAAATATAAAATATTAAATTTGGAAAATCATGACCATACAAAGATGGAAATAAATATAACCGTTGGATCAACATAAGCGATCTAACGGTGAGATTGACTGGGTGTCACATGGGTGTAACATAACTTGGGTGTCAGAATATCCTATCCCCTTTTTAATTAGGAAAAAATATGTATCATTTTAAAGGAGGTAAAGTTGTATCATTTTAAGTAAGAGAAAGAGATAGATAAAGGGGGAGAGAGAGTGGACAAACAAAATAAAAATGTGAGTCCTACCTCTTTCTGAGAGTGAAATTATATAAGTTGTGTTATTTAAAAGAACAAATATTTTTTCTTTTTAATTATAAGGAGAGAATAAATTTCTTTTTCTTAAACTAAGGGAACTAATACCTCACAAAATTCACTTAAGAAACTATATACAGGAGAAATTAGATTTGGTATTTATAGGAAGGATGGAGAAACTTACATTTATAACCTTCTCATCAGGGGAGAAATTGAATCGGGTCAGTCTACAGGGGCCTTCGGCTCGGCCTATATCAGGTCAGACCTTACCTAGTATATTTCGTAAAATAGGTTGGGCTTCGGCTTTGAAAAAACTTGTTTAATAAATAAGCCGTAGGCCCACTTTCACAAGGCCTGACCTATAAGTCTGCAAACCGGCCTATATTGTACTATTTATTTTAAATAAAATAGAATAAGTATGTCTTGAAGAAAAAATAAAAGATACAAATTTAATCAATTACAATTATTTATAACTCAATTATATTCAATTATATTTTAATAGAAATCTGATTTTATTTCTTATGTCGGAGGACCAATATCTCAACATGTTAAATTGTGTATATGAATATATTAAAAGGTTTTTGTGAGATGTTATATTTAATACAAGCATCATGATGTGTTTGTTGGATTCATGTAGTTATTTTAATTTACATAGTATGGATTTATTTGTTGGATCTGATGAAATATATGTTGTTTAGTTTGAACATTTTGCTTTTGAAAGTGACTTAAATGCATATTGTTATGAGTTTTGTTGTGATTTATGATTCTGTTTGGACGTTGAAATTGTGATTTTTGGTTTAGCAAAAGAATTTGAGTATTTTGTGAAGTTGATTCATGGTTCTGCTTGGAAGTTAAAAATTAACAGACTTACGGGCTAAGGCCAACCATTTATTTTTTATAAACGGGTCAAGTCAGACTAACAGTTAGGCTAGTACTAGGCTTGAGTCAGGCTAAATTAGAATTTTTTGGCATAGGCTTGGGCTTTTTGGTGCAAAGCTTGGCCCAACCCATCCCACTTTCACCCCTATTTCTCATTCTTTGTCTTTTCATACTTTAACCTACGTTGGATTTTTAATATGTGTGTGAAGAGTGGATAATACATATGTATGCTCTACCTATGCGATGAGACTCCATAATATATAATTATTTATTAGTAAAATAAGGGTGATGAGAATCAAACTAATAATCATTTGGTCACATAAACTCTCATACCATATAAAGAATTATTTTACTAAAAAACTTAAGCTATTAAATAAGGTTACATTAATATTTTTATATTATATTTCTTTAATGATAATTTTTTTATTAATAAGTCATCTATACATATTAGTACAAATTTTCCCAAAATCTATGATTATCATAAGTTCTAACATACAAAAGTGATCAAGTAAGAAAAGATTATCCGTGATTTGCTCTAGCTGCGCACATTTAATTTTTGGCTGCATTTTTTAATAAATCCTCATCTGTATAATACTATTAAATACTCGTATATCTTTATTGCGTGTGAATACTTTTATAACAATCTAAGCATGTCTATGCAAGTAAACAACAGATATAATTTTGTTCGAAAAAGTTATATTTTATAATTTGGAAAATGTTATATTTATAAATTTTTTGTTTGCAAATTACACTAAGTATGACCGGTTATAATTTAATTAAGAGTGTATGATCGATTATACTTAATATAATTTGTAAAAAAAAAATTATAAATGAATCATTTCCCTCTTATAGTTTAGTCTTTATATATCTTTAAAAAGTTGAGTAATCTACCAAAAAGAAGAAGAAGTTGAGTATAATAAATAAATTATACGTTTTAAAAAAATATTATTATATCCTAACTTAATGAAATTCTAATTCCACATTTATCCCTCAATTAGCATAAGCCTACTAAGACTTTAACACTTGAAAATGTCGAAAGCTTATGCGAGCCTACCTTTCCAGTTTCATCCGCCCCACGTGATTGCAGTTTCACTATAGCCCCTCCGCCCCCCTCCAATATATGTATATGTACGAAAATTATTTTCTTATTTGGAGATTATTTTCTGAGGTATTGAAATTTGTAATATTTTATTTATTTTATTTTATTTTTTTAACAAGTGATGAGATCTATCGCTTGTTATATCTATAATATGAAAGATGTTATCTCATGTAACATGAGAAAAGAAAAATGCATAGGAGATAAAATTACTCTTATGTTACAGGAGTAGTTTTTCCCTCTATATATATAAAAAACATTTCTTCCTATTAGTGACTTATAACATAAGTGAGTTCCACCATGAATTTTTTTTCTTTACTATTTTATAGGTCTCACTTATATTACGAGTCTTTAATAATAGAAAATATTTCTCCCTTAATTTTATATATATATATATATATATATATATATATATATGATAAGTACGTATCAGTATCATAAACTGAGAAATTTATTCCCTGCTTTCTTTTTTTCTTTTTTCTTATCTCTCTCTCCTCTTTCTCTCTCTTGTGGAACCACAGGGGCCGAGAGCTTAAAATATTATCTCCATAAACTGGCATGTAGAGATCTCACACAAATCTAGGAAGGGCAACCAAAGCTCTGATTTTCTTGCTAACTATAGTCTGGTTTAGGAATTTTTCTTTGGGCCACGTGATTACCGTTTTTCTTTAATTTTTTATATTATCATTTAAATAATATCTTTATTTTTATTTTAATCTAAATCCTAATTTTTTATTTTTTTAGATATATATATATATATATATATATATATATATATATAGTACCAAAGATTTGTTTATGATTTAGGAGCTGGTAAGCAAAGTCAGTGGTTAGCTGTATAAAATATTGTTAGAGAATAAAATAAAAAATATTAAAAAGACTATCACCTAACGTTTTAAGGTTTTGAATTAAAGTGATGCTTATTATGGTATAGAGCTTTAGTGACCACAAGTTCACGATTTCGATCCTCATCACCCCCACTTTCGTCCCCACTTTCAGGTAGAATTAAGAAAAGTACAAGGCAGACAAAAAAATTGAGCTTGTGCAGCACAAGGCAGACCAATAATAGACTTGTTCTATATCTACATTTCAAATCCAAAAGACTTTTACGTGAAGGGGTATGTTAGAGAATAAAATAAAAAAATATTAAAAATACCATCATTCAATGCCTTAAGATTTTGGATTGAAGTGGTATTTATCACGTATATTGCGAGTTTATACTCTCTTTTTTGTAAAATATACCTTGAAGTTTTTTCCTTCTCCTTTTACTTTTTGCCCCTCTGTCTATTTAACTATGGCATGTACTGACCTTTTTTGTAAAAGAACGAAGAATGCAATTCATAAGTAAGATGATAGCTCTCATGACAAGTTTGCACATATCACGATTATTTTGAAACAATGGGTAAAAAATGTAAGAGACGATTTCAATATTCACGAATCCCACAAAATACTTTTTACACAACCCTTACCCTACTCATCTTTATAAGGTCCCAGCATTCAATGCCACTAAATTAATGATGCCTGCCGAAATTAAAAAGAAATACCTTTTTCTGTTTAAAGAAAAAGCTCATTATACCACGTACATACTAAAAAGAAACCTCATTATACTGCTTTCAAAAACCGCACACAAGGGCAGTGGAATTGAAATTCAACCCTTTCCTCCTAGCGAGGCTAATGAATTTACCATTAAACTTAGATCTAATACGACATACTCAGCAAACCCCCACGTACGGTCCTTCCTCTTCTTACATTTTCCACTAGTTTAAAAATAACAGGATTTTTTTTTTTTTTAAAAAAAAAAAAAAACTTCTCCGTGGAGTTATAAACCTAGAGATATTTCGTTGAAAGGCAAGCATAGAAAAAAGCATGCCCTGTTACAAGACTCAATAAGTTTTAGGTGTTTTCTTTTGTAATTTTCTTGTGAGGATGTCTTATGCTCATTCTTTGTAACCCTTATCTTCTTCTTTAAGAAAACTTATTTTTTAAAAAAGGTGGAAAAGAAAAAGAATAGAGAAAGGGAACTATTAATCGTCTTTAGGAAATTAAATGAAAATAAAGGTTCCACCTTTTTCTACAAAATAAACTGATGAAATATGGGAATAAATTGTGTTCTAATGCTGGTTAAAACTCGATTCCCTCAATTCTATATCAAATGTTGAAAATGTATAGAATTATAAACCATATCCAGGATATATATTTCTCATCCAAAAAGTACTCTGCTGAACCAAGATCATGACTCCACATTACTTGCTCTTCTTTGGTTCTTTAGTATATTGAACTATCAAAGCTTCAACATCCTTCCAGAAGAGGCCCTCCACCAAGATTCCGTCCTTAGTGAACCTGCATACAGCAAAAATAGACTGACGCATGTTGATGTCGAAAAAGCAGTGCAACAGATGCATGCATACTGATTCATGTCCAGTGCCATTGTGTGGGTATGTATAAGCTAAAAATTGGAGGTAGGGGTTGGAATGCAGAGAGAGAGAGAGAGATACCACTGAGTAACACTTTTGGTAAAATGTACTGGTTCATTTGCAGAAATTGATTTTGGATCAGCACTTGCAACGGTAAGTGAGTACATGTCAGAGAATCTAGGCAATTTGGAGGAAACTACCAAACCGGTACTGGTAAAGGATCCCTGTAAAAAAATAAAAAATAAATCTAAGTTGGAAGACACTATAATCATAATTTTAAGCATGTCTTCGGATTCTGGTGAAAGGCTAATATCAAATGCATTACTTGATTCGATGACAGAGTCCAAATACAAACCTAAAATTATTTAGATGAATGAAATACAACATATTCCACAGTATAGCCGCTGCAAAGATAAAAACATAAAATATCCACAACCATAGTCCATGAAATCCTATAAATAAGATAACCAGCCAAGCCACAACCAGTTTGCATCATTGTACGGGAAACTTCAGTCAAATATAATGGTTTACCCCCTTTAAATCACTTGCTGAAAATGAAGCAATCAAATTTGAAATCCAATTTAAGACTGAAAACAAAGCAACTAAAACCCTATTAGCATGTTTGGGTCAACTCAAATTCCAGATGAAGTTGTATGGAAGTTAGAACAATAAAGATATAGATACAATCTGGGTTAAATTTCCAACCTAAAGACATGCCGTAGTCGATCTAAGTAGTTAGTTTGGATGTGAAAAATTATCCTGTTGCAACTTTTATACAACTTAAATTGCAATTAAACAACTAAAGGATAAAAAGAATGTGATATAACAATACCACTGCATAATAGAAAGTTCATTGGAAATTTGGAACCATTCCATAACACTACTATATCAAATAAATATTACTCGCTTACCAAACTGATATTAATTTCAGCTATTTGTCAACTCGAAGCAAGGCCCGTTTAATACACAAGGGATCTTCTTTGTGTCTATGATGAGTTGATGACTACTAAGCTAAAACAGTCATGTTCAGATTATCCTATGTATCTTATCTTGAGGCCCATACTATGGCACAATACTAACAAAACTAGCCAGACTTAAACAACAAGATAAGGCCCATACTATGGCACAATACTAACAAAACTAGCCAGACTTAAACAACAGCCTTATTGCTCTTTCAAAAGAGATCCCCCCAACAGAAAAAAGCCATACTCCTATCTCTCTCTCTTTCTCTCACATGCGCGCACACGCAATGACAAAATAGATATCATATAATTCTAAAAGTGAATTAGGAATTGTCGGATGAAAAAAGAACTTAATCAGCACACAAAACGGGGAGCTATTAGAACTTCTAGAAATTGTTTTTTCATATTTGAATATACATCTAAAAGATGAAGAATAAAGTCCACACTCTATAACCTTTATTAAGTGAAATCAAAGGGTCATAAAACATCACACATATTCTAACAGACCACGTTAAACATTATGCAAAAAGTGAGTAGTATAGATTATGTGTGTTTCAAAGGTATTCATTCAACAATTTCCAAATCCAAAAAACAGAGGACTGATATTATTATTTACCCATCCCAGGAGGGTGGTAGACGAAGTTTCATTTTTAAGAGATTTAGGAAGATCAGTCATCCAAAGCACTTCAAGCCAAACACAGCATCTATTCTCCATATATAAATAAAACTCAAGCATTAAAGACAAGTGATTTAGCAAAGTTCACGGAAACTCACAGAAGGAGGATAAGTAAACAGAATGGCATTTTTCTCCTTGGTGTATATGATCAGCTGCAATAACCCATTGAAGACTACATACGTGCAAAGAGTTAAGGATCAAACAGCACTGAAGCAGAATGAATAAAAACATAAACATCAGCAATCAAATTTCCTTTTTCACGAAAAGCATCAAACTCATTTAACGAGGAACCTTGACAACTTTCAATTTGAATAATTCCTGCATCCCCCGCTACTTCAAAGAGTTAATTCCAGATGTTTCTTTTCAAGCCGAGATTTCATCAAAAAGATTTTTTTTACACACACACACAAAAAAGGTATGGAAAAGGGCAGGGAAAGGATATAAGGCGATGCAAGCAATGAGAAAATCCCTGTTTTCAGGGAACTTCTTCTTGTAAAACTGGGCGAAGAGAGCAATGACAATGATGATGGTCCCAATGAACAGCCTCACATTGCTCAATCTCACGTCTTCTATATACCCATGACTCATTACAACCTACACCAACCCAAAAATTTGAATCAATCAACAAAAATAAATAAATAAAAATTGGAGGCACTTCAACTACAATTAGAGAACCGAAAACGCAAGAAAATAAAAAATAAAAGAGAAGTCTCGCAACGTCGATCAGATCGAAAAAGTAAAGATAAAGGGTTAGGGTTTAACACTTTAACGGACCTCAGAGACAGACTCATCGAGGATGTGCTTGATGGAATGGTGATCTAAGAGATTAGCTTTCTTTGGAGCTTTGGACGCCATTTCTGATTTCTTCTCTCTCTCTCTCTCAGACTTCACTTGACCCAACCAGGAAGGAATCACCGTTGCGGTTTAACCCTTGAATATTCAATACAAGTTACTACTGCCAGCGTCACACACTGAATAAACCTGGACAGTGACTATTTTGACAAAAAAAATTACCAAAATGCCACGAAAACAGTAAAAATTTTCAAACTGTCACGTGACATAATTCACTACACCACATGACATAATTTCGTTACACAGTGTAACTAATTATGCATGCAAATACTTCACTATACAGTGTAACGAGATATGGCACGTTAGAACCAAAAAGTGCCAAGTGTCAAAATTGTTGAAATTCGCTACCCTATGTAGCGAATTTCAACATTTTGGCACATGACGCTTTTTGGTTATGCGCATTCTGACGTGACATATTTTGCTACACTGTGTAGCGAATTACTTGCATACATAATTCGCTACACTGTGTAGCGAATTATGCCGCGTGGCAGTTTGGAAAATTTTACTGTTCGCGTGTCATTCTGATAATTTTTTTTGCCAAAACGTGACATTTTAGTCACTGTCTCGAATAAACCTGCTATTGGTGCGTAATGCGCACTGCTCATAAAGGTAACTCATGAGATGTGCATTTTCCTGAAAAATCTAATAAATATATATCTACTCTATATGGAAATTGAAGGACCTCTAAATAATAAAATAAAGGAAATGATATATTTATCACCACACAAGTTTATTATTTTTACAATCAACTTAATCATCGTTGTTTTCCGTCAATCTAACGGTCATAATTTGTTGAAAATTATTGGGTCGTATTTATTAATTAATTTTTAATAAATTCAATAAATAACCGTTAGATTGACGAAAATCAACGGTAATTAAGTTGATTGTAAATGTGGTAAATTTTTTTTGTGGTAAGTATATCTGCCCCATAAAATAATGAAGTGTTTTGCAATATTTCTTAAAATGTCTTCACAATATTCTTGTTAATACTCAATAAAATATATTAAATGAAAAAAATTAAGTGTGTGCAATATTTAAAAAATATATTTAGCACTTTCTTTATTGGAAAGATTATTAAGAGGATTTGAAATTATTTAATGATGAATCCGATGGTGAAGTCGATTCTTTTCATTAAATCAAGAGGAACAACAAAACTTATATAGTTTTTACATAAAAATTACAGAAAAAATATTTAGTATCATTTTTCTTAATTACCATCAAGTGTCCAAAGCCTTAACATTATCAACTTTTTTTAATGTAATAAAATATTCTAACACCCTAATAAAGCCTCTCTCTCTTTTTCCCTTATAACTTACTGCCGCATAACACACTCTCTTGTAAGAATTGTACATGTTTTATCTTTTTCTGCTTTTTTTCCTCGAAATAGATTATCAAATAATGCAAAAAAAATTAATACATAATACCTATATCCGACCAATAGAAATATAACATTTGTGTTGATATGTTTTTTTTTGAAGAAAAAATAATAATGTTAATATTATGTTATTATTTTAGGGGAATAAATAATATGTAATTTTATTTTGACTTTAATATTTATGCAGTGAAGGTAGATAAGTTGTTAACATTCACTTACAAAACATCATCATTTTGGTTGAAAAATTAAAAAATTATAATAAGAAAGACTATTAGAACTCTAAAAAAAATTATAATTATAAAAATACCTTCATTTTCGTCTCAAAACGACATCTCACTGATAAAAACGAATTGGTTTTATTTTAAATGAGAGTTATATTACAATAGTAGTATTAAAGATTTTTTTTTTTTTGGGTACATAATGAGAGCAAAGCCCAAAAACAAATTAAACTAAAATAGGGGAGCTAAAATCCAAACCCTCACTGTCCTTACAAAGCAAGGGTTGCATAACAGAGGGGGGTTATGTAAAATACAGAATTCCATATCCAACGCAAGTGACTCTCGTGCCAGCCAATGGTTACATCGATTTTGCTCTCTACCCAAGTGTTGGGCATAGAAATCCCAGTCCCTGGTTGCCATATTACGAATGAGAGACAGTAGAGACTTGAGGGAAGAGTGACCATTTTGCCACACTTGGCAAAAAAATTTACCAGACTGTCACGCCAACAATAAATTTTGTCAAAATGACACGCTGCACCCTTAGCCGTCGTTGAAGAAGTCTGAAAATATAACTAATTCACATTATCTTATCTTGAGTTAAGATAAGATAATGTGAATTAGTTATATTTTCAGACTTCTTCAACGACGGCTAAGGGTGCAGCGTGTCATTTTGACAAAATTTATTGTTAGCGTGACAGTCTGGTAAATTTTTTTGCAAAGTGTGGCAAAATGGTCACTCTTCCAGACTTGAGACTCTCTATTATCCTTGTTATTGGCCTGAAAAATAGAAAGTGCCTGGTTGAGTCCCCTTCTATGTTGAGCCTTCTTGACTTCTGCTTGCCAAGCCATTTCCATTTCTCTTAAGAAGGATCAGTCCATTTTGCATCTGGTATGCTGGTATGGATGATATAACTGATCTAGTTATCTTCCACTCCACCATCCTTGCTCCAAAGGTTATGATTCCAAAGGTTGTTCTGTTCCATTCTTGGATTTTTGGTGTGAGGCTCTTCTAGTTATCTTCCACTACACCATCCTTGCTTTGCTCCAATTTTCCATCAAAAATTGTTTGAACTCCTTATGCTCCTGCCAAATATTACAGAAGCTAAAAGGCCTTTCTTCCCATCCATTGTCCATTTTGTCAATGTTAATTAGAAATGGATTATGATCACTACGGATTCTAGGTAAGACCCGAACAACAGCATCATCAAAGGTGGTTCTCCACTCGATATTCCTGCAAGCATGTTCTAAACGTTTATAAACTCGCTCCATATGCATGATAAAAAAGATTATTATTTTTTTTTCAAATAACGATCCGAATTCTGTAGCGGGCTGTAATTATGTGCGGTTATCACCAATATAATTTGGAACCGAACCGTGGGGAAGCTTTAGCTAACCGTAGTGGTACGTAACGTTTTACTTACCTAACTCAATAAATCAATGATGTTTATGAGAAAAAGGATAGAGTGAAAGAAGAAGAAGAAAGAAAGGAATGCTGCTAATTGATGTTATGTGAATTTCAACATAGGAAAGGGAAAATATCATCATGTTTAAGTAAATGTTGCTGGTTAGTTTGTGAGGTCCGAGCACCCACTCTTCAGGATCAGAAAAATAAAATTCACATAATATAAACCAAGCAATACAACAGTGGATAGATACCTAATCAGATTTGAGAAAATTTCTAATTTTTTTTTCTTTCATACATGAGGAATACTAAGGAATAACAAAAACGAAGGGGGACAAACATATGATACACTATCTTTCTTTTAAGTAAAATTATAGTCTAAGACAAAGTTTTGGTGAAATTGAGGGCTCCTCCTAGCACCTCCCTGACTCCACCTATGACACCATTTGCAGGAGCATGTACTCAACAAGATCCCATTTGCAACTATTGATGACAAGTCTGAAGAAAATAATCAAGATACAGTTATATATATTTTAATCTCCTGTTTATCAAGTTTAAAGCTATCCAATTCCATAATCAATTTCCTATCATTTGAATGAATATGCCAATCGAAGATGGTTCATGAAATCACGATATCGGGAAAACTAAAATTAGTGATTTCCAATCACCGAGGCTTTGGCTTTACAGTGTTGTAAACATCCTTAGCGAGCAAGAAACGCATCTGTTTAACTAGTTCTTCCTTCACCATGAACAAAACAGCAGCAGCCAGCACACTTTGTACGATTTTAGTGCTCATGCCTTTGTAAAATCCATAAAACCCTTCATAGCGGATCATCTTAATAATAGCATCCCATGTGCCTGAATTTGAAGAACATGAGACTTCAGAGAGGAATATTACAATGCACAAGGAGGGGGGAGGGAAGCAACAACAGAAGCATTTATCAGCAGGTTGAACAAGTGCATTAATCATTATAGCCTCTCTTTCGGCAAATGAAACCAAAAGTAGAGATGAAACACACTACAATTGGTTATGGGCCATATTCATGGTATAAGAAAAGATCGTCACAACTTAAACCTTTATAATGGTGTCTCTTGTCTGCATTTTTAACTTGCCTAGCCTGAAGCCTTGCCTGCAATAGCGACATAACGAGTGAGAGATTAAGAAAAGCATTTTGGATGCAGATACTCTTCTACATTTCTCAGCTCTCCCCATTCCTCTGTTCAAATAATTAATGGACATTAACATGACACACAAGAAGGATTTGATGACACAACAAATTTAAGAAATACAACATTGATTATTAATTATTGAAAATAAGAACGAACAATTTTCTAATATCAAACACATCTAACAATTTACCAACGGTTAGATGTCAAACTAAAAAGTAATTCATGGCATCAAAGATGTTGCTTCCCTCCCTCCCCTCCTTTCTCTCTCTCTTTCACACACAGTATTAGACACATCTATAAAACAAGTAAATTATTCATCGTTTTCATGTAATGTATAAATAATTACTATCCTAACTTTTTGAAGTTCCAACTAGTTTACATTGATAATATATTAATGTCCTTGGAAATGCCACGAGGCAACTTTATGGCATATTCAAGCATTTTTGAGATATATATTCTTGGTTTTCAGGTCTTCAAATTGATCCAAACTCCCTTTTTTGAATATTACAATGCACAGGGATGTGTTCAAGTAAGAACTTTTCCATATAGCCAGATAAAACTAACATGATGAGAAAACTAGTATGATATACCTTCACAACTAGAAGAGGATAAGTTACCACAGTAGCTCCAAGCTTAGCCAAAGCTCCAAGAAGAAATATCTAGTGACATAAAGCAATGTTAGTTTGACAATGTTGTAAACGATCAAAAGTAACATAATAGAAAATATAAGTGTAAATGACATCACTCACAACACAAGCCATTTTACCTAGAGAAGTGAAATGAGAAAATACCTCCAAAGCAGTTACAGCATTGCTACCCTTCTTACTCTGAAAACGTCTTTTTTTTAACTTCGCCAACATGGTTTCATACAGCATGAACTGTATGGAAGGATTGCTTACCTGAGATCAGTAATAACCAATCAGTAAAACTCCCTTGGCATGAAAAAGATTCACTTTCTACGTACCATAATCAATGTTGGTAATACACCTTTCCAGAAACCCCAAACTCCAGCTTCACCATAGACTTCTTGAATCTGCAAAAATGTATTAGAATATTACACATACCAAAGGAAATTCTCCAGGTTTGAAGTTTACAATGTTAATCAGACCCAAATTCATGCAAAGTGCAAGGCGTCATCTGGAGTCCCTAGGAACAAGAGGAGGGACTATAATAAAATTCTGTATATAATAAAGGGTAAATATTATGATTAAAAATCATCAATTAATTCATTGAAATATTTTCAGAACATCTCTTCCAATAGGAATATAAATGATGCCAAATTTAGCATACTAATCAAGACTTTGCTCAGTACAGGCCAGTAGCCTAGACAGAATAACTAGCACTCTGGCATAACTTCTTTAATTTGCTAGAGAAGGTGTCATGTGAGCTCTACTTATATAATAAGGATAAGGAAACTATCAATAAAGATAGACTTTACCCACCACATGACTAGTTCCATAAGCAAGAGGCTCAACGGGAGAAAGCATTGTTTGTGCAGTAGCATCTGACAACCCCTTATCAGGGAGAGTTCTTCTTGACTCTTTTCTATGTGTCTGCACAGTAAAAAGAAATTTATTTTTTTGAAACGAAAAAATATAAAAGACCAAAATGTAAGACTTGTTTGATGAGTCACTTAGGAAGGAAGTAAAGAAACAGACACAAAATTTTTATCTTCTACTATGTTCAAATCCATTCTAAACACTAGATTACAGGAGAAAAGAAAAGAAAATCCCCATTTCTGTATTCTTGACATTAGGGTCCCAAACTAGCTGTCAAATTCCCGAAAACCCTAATCTCTTTTTCAAGTCCAAACAAGCATCCAAATTCATGAATCCTTCTGTTCCAAGTTAACTGTCTTACAATGCTGAAATGCATTTAAAAAATTCTTTAGGGGGGAAGGAAATAAAAAATCATCAGTAAAAGTCTTTGTATTTCTTTTTTCTAACTAACCAGATTCTAAAATCATAAAATGAGAAAAGGAAGTTTCCAGTTGATTGATATTAGTTTGTGTCAATTTCACATTTAGTGCATACTAGGAAGCAACAAAAGCAAAGAAGGGAGAGAGGGAACGCAGGGAGAGGAAGGAAGGGAATACAATAAGAAAGAGAGAATGTAGGTGACTATCAACTAGCGCTAATTACCTGCATGCGGGTAACGACTACCCATATGGGATTTGTCAAGAGAACATTAGTACACCTACAAGAAGGATTATCAAGCAATTTCAGTCATACCACATCAGTATGGAGACATTACACAATCTGCAATCTGTACCAACTTGACTGGAGGGGCAAAAACAAACTAGAAACATAGGGGCTCTTCGCAGACAATGCAAATTACCCAGATAAAGCAGCAACAATAAGTGAGGAGATCATCCCAACTGATCCATCACCGATGCCTAGCCTTTTCTGTTCTAATGCAGCTGCTTCAGCTTTGTTCCTGAATATTTGATAGAAATAATAGTAAACACCCTGTACCATAAAATTGTAGTAATTAAAAAATGGGAATCCTAAATCAAAACACAAAACAGGTTGCAAGAAAATATATCACGCAGGATCCATGACTTGTTGAAAAGTTTTAATTCGTTTTGATAGATAAAGAGTCAAATTAAAGGCCACCCATCGTAAAAAATGAATTCTATATCAAGAATATCTCTTAATAAACTAAAAAATATATATTCTGCATCCTCAAAACAGATCAAATACAAGAATTGCATAATTATAGTTTTCTCACTTCTTTAACAACAAGCTGATATATATCAAGAAGCAAATATACAAAACATGACTCGCTGTAAGATTATGAAATTAAGAAGGGGCATCTTTGTATAAAGAGCACCAATATCACCAAACCTGAGCTAAAATGAGCTCACCTGAGACGTAGCTGTACCCACTAGCGATGGCATCAACCCTCCATACAACCGCTCCCACCCCTCTTGTTTCACAACCTAAAAAATATTCCCATAGGCCATAACCGCAATCACTAAACAATGAATTCGATAATATTACAAAGAAAAAAAAGAAAAAGGTTTGCTACAATAACTTCTAAACCTACATAACCACAAGGTTAAGCCAAGATAAACGCAGTAGCAAGTTTGCATCTTTACATTGTTTCCATAACCAAAACAAATAACCAATTAAGATTAACAATCACATGATCCCGTCTAAAAGACAGAAACCTGGCACATCTGCTGAAAAGTTCCTAGATTCCTGTTGTCCTTCTTGGAATCACGTTCGGTTTGTTGACGAGTGTTTACCTGTAGATCACCTCAAAAAAATCAAATTTTTTACATCTATAAAAACCCACTTGAGAAAAAAAATAAAACTTTGAAACCATATTGATACCGTTTGAAGAGGGTAGGTGATGAGCTGAGCAATGATCCCTCCTCCAGCTCCTGCTAGCCCATTGATCAGAGCGTCGGACATGTTTGCCACTCGGGAAAATGAAAATCTAATCGGGGCTGATTTTCTCCGGAAAGTATGGCATTGAGAGAGAAACAGAGAGAAATGAAGATCTAATTCTAATTCTTCGAGAGAGAAAGTAGGAGAGACTGCGCCTACCAGTGCATTTGTCCGTAGCAAGGTGGTTTCACAGTTTGCACATGATAGATTGTTTCGCTATCAAACGTTGCGTTTGGGAAAAGAAATGATGTTAACGTTGTTAAGGGTGGATGTGCATAGACCATTCTACCCTATAGAGGGGAATATACTGCTGCTATTCGCCTTGGTCTTGGTAACGGTAGGTATACTCAAAAGAAAGAGGCTTATCTGATTATAACCTTTTCTTCTTGGGATGTGCAATCTGCGGGAAAATTGTTTAAGAAACCTTACACTTAATTTGATAGATCGAAATAATCTCCTGTTTTTAAGTAAATTTATTTGTAAAGTAAGCAAGTAAAAATATACTTATTTTTAATCTGATTTAAAGTTTGATATATTCTAATTTATTAAAAATTAAGAATTCATATTTGATTGAGTTACTGAATTAGTAAATGTTTTTTCAATAAACGACCCAAAATTCATCTCTTGATTTTAAAAAACATAATAATCATGTCTTGATTAATTGATCTCATCATGTATCCAACAAAAATACTTGACCTTATAATGTGATGGATTTTTCCGTTAACTATCATAAAAGTATTTGTTAATAAAAATTTAAACAAGTAAAAATAAATTCTTAGTGAGATATTCTAAATGTTATGAAGTTTTAAGTTCGACCTCTTTTATAAAAAATATAATTTTATACCAATATAAAAATAAGAAGTTTTATACTCATTCTTGATTATTTATTTATCCGTGAAAGGCCCATATGACTGAAAAATTAAAAATATTATATATAAGCGGATCAAAGATCAAGATAGAAAGAGTAACTTATATTGGTATAAAACTAGTATATTACCCATACATTGTACGGAGAAAAAAATTAATCAGTTTATTTGTCTCGTAAAAATTAACGCAAATTGTAAAAGTATATCGCAGCATTTAGCTTATCCTGTAATCATTCAAAAATTACGTAGTTTGACTCATATTCTTTCAATATTTCTTAGAAATAAACTTTTATTAATCTGATTGTTCATTTTGTTTAGATGGTTATTTTTGAAATGTTTACAACAGTAAATTCAATTATCTTAGCCACACAAAGACGAGTTTGTTAGACAGTAAATATAAAAATAAAAATAAAAACGTGTTGGCGGGCAGGTCGGATCCGTTTGGCCGACGACCACCTCTAACTGTCAGTATTTTATATCAGCATGTAATAGATTTTTATATTTATCCACACAAAAAAAGTTTCTTATAGTTACACTTAGATCACTATCTATCTATATTTTTATAGTTGCCTCTAAATCGACTTTATGAGGTGTGTGTATTTGTGACATCTTTATGAGGTGTGTGTATTTGTGACATATATATTAGATGAAGAGTTGACAAATATTTGAGTTAGTACGTTTAATATTCTAACAAACACTTCATTGTTGAAGTTGAAAATGGTAATATCAAAAGACCATTCGTTGACTTAATTGTATAAGTATAAATAATTATTCACAAATTTAATATACGTATATATATATAAGCATATATTTAATGTATTGTATTTAATCTCAATAAAACTTCAACTCTACCAACAATAATTTGGTGAAAAAAATGAAAAAATAACTACTCACTTCGGAAACAACTAATCATAAATAGCATTAAAATAATGATATATTGCAAAACATTGAATGATCATTTATGTTAATTGAGTAATTAATAAGAATACATAATTGTTTTTTTTGCAAGGATTTGTGGCCTTAGTATTTGAAATTTTACAAATTAGTATTTATAAAATTGACATAAGATTTAGGAATTTAACTATAAAAAATGAAGGGTAAAAATTTAATTTAATTATAAAAATGTGTTGGCAGGCTAACTCGCCTGTTTGATTCAAAGTTTTCAGAACAATTGAAGGAGAGAGCGATACATCATCAAAGTTTCTAATAAATGGTTCTCCAAATGTATCATATACGAATTTATTTATAATTATTTCATAAAATTTTAAATAACAAATATTTTTAACCAAAAAATATACGGTGTAAGTGGAGACTTTATTATGTCAATGAAAAGGATAAATAAAAATTACACAGATCTACAGGGCTTTCTTTTTTTATTTTTTTGGTACAACTTCATGTTTCTTTAATTTTGCATTGAAGTTGTCAAGCAATATTGATGTTCATAAAAAGGCTTTATAGTTTACGGTTTACATTCAACGCCATTTTCTATGACCCCAACTCCTCCTTTAACTTGTAGATGCCATTGCGATTTACGCACGCATTATGGAACCTTTGGAATTTAAACCACTGTTGTAAAACCCGGCCCGACCCGGTCGGGTCGACTCGGAACTCGGTGAACCGGTTATTAGACTGGTTCAGGTTAAGCATTGGACCGGTCATGCATCGACCTGGTCAAACCCGGCCAAATCTGATGACCCGATCGGGTCATGCATTTAAAAAAAAAAAAACTAAAATTGTTTCATCTTATCAAAAAAATGTAAATCTCATTTTAAAAACTTTTTGTAATTTTATTTACTAGTATACTCTTCTACAATGACCTCTTAGTTTTCAATACTAAAGTAATTTGTGGAATAATAAATTAGAGAATGCGACATATGTCATTTTAATGTAGTTGAATTTGAAAACTATGAGTTCAATGTCATTGAGAGGTATGTTTATGGGAATTCTGAGTTGCAATTTAAATTGACATAGTAATAGCATGCACTTTTATTTATTTGTGCTTCATGCTTTTTAGCTTATTTAGTGAACCTTGTTTAATTCATTTTAGATATGGAGAATATAATTAAATTTATATGTTTATATTTATATATCTATATATATCAGGGTCAACCGGTCCGACCAGTCATCCAGTACCCCGATCGGGTCAATGCCCGGGTCAGGTTTAACAACACTGATTTAAATCGTAAAAGTGTGAAATTTGGCTAAGTGGGAATGCTCATAGTTGTCACAATAATGTTTTAATTTATGTCAGAATATTGAAAACCTTACTATAACTATTTTGATTTTGGATCTCGTTAAAAGATCCATACATGTTAATATATTTCTTATAATGTTGGTTAATAATCAAAAATAAAAACTATTAAGCAAAAATTTAAATATTTCATATATTTTGTATAAAATCAATAAAAAAAATGATATTTTTTTTCTTACCATGAATCAATAAATTCTATTTAATTTTAAGCAAAACTTCATTTTTTTTTTTAAATTGTTCTCTGTTATCAAATGAACACCATATACGTTTTGGATATATAATCTGCTATAAAAAATGAATGCAAAATGAAAAAATATAAAGTTTTCTATTTTTTTTTCCAAAAAACAAGTTATCTATCTTAACTCCTAAAGTAATATTCTTCCAAAGTTTCCAAAGAATGGTTCTACTTCCAGTGACTTTTCCCAGCACAACATTTTCATCAGTCGCAGATTTTCTTTCTCCAACAAGGTGTCTTCGACTTCAGCATCAAAATTAATTCAAAAAATTTGCTCATGTGTCAGTATACTATATTAATAATATTTAAATAATATAAATAATTCACCCGATAAAGTATAGACCAATGAACATGAATATCAACAAACATGAAGTGAAAAACTATAAACGCACAAATAATAGGTAAATAACGGTTTGAGAAAATGAAGATAAACAGACAGAAACATAAGCTGATTACGAATGGAAAATATGTTGCAACACATGTCTTATTTATACAAGAACTAAGGAGGTTTTTTGAACTTTTTTTTGTATTAAAACTTATTTTTTAAAACTTCTACCAAAATTATTAACAGGTTTAACAATTTTCTATGCAAAAAGTAGTGATATTATTATTAGGCTTAATAATTTTCGATGTAGAAAGTAGTGATATTATTTTTAGGGTTAACAAATGCTCACATAGAAAGTAGTGAGATATTAATACATATGTTTGCCACCAATAATGATGAACTATTTTTTCACCTATCAAGTTTAAATTTTAAATTTGAATAATTACTAAAAGAGGAAACATTTCAAAGGGGTTTAAGTGTGAACACAAAGAGAATATTGAAGGAGATAACGATACATCAGCAAACTTGCCAAAAGTAGGTTGAACTGCTGATAGTAGGCCAACCTCCAAGTGTTGAGCTGGTGTATTCCACTTGACGATTTGTATTTTCTTCCACACGATTAATGGGACGTCACCTTAACACATGAACCATTGGATACAAGTGAATCGTTGACCAATAATGACTCACTCATAATTTTTTATGATGAGGGCAAAACAAAAATATCAAAATTACAAGTTTTATTAAGACTAACAAGAAGGGCTGACTATTATAAATATTTGAAATAAAGGCTAACTATTAGTATTAATTATCTATTTATTAATATAAAATGTCATTTTATACATATAATAATTGCAAAATCAAAGCTTAGGAAGGGCAACTATTAATTGTCACCTGTTAATATATATGATTTAATATTTATCCTGCAAACTAGAGATAAAGTCATCTCGTGCATACACATAGGAGTTAATGAAATAGAGAAAAAAAAATAGAGGGTCCTATCTATTATTCTATGTTTATGTAGGATAATTTATCTCTAGCTTGTATGAAAGTAAGTGTTAGAAATCTTACTCCATATCTTAACCATTAATTTATGTTCATCTAATGATACCAAGATAAATAATATTTTATAATAATAATAAATTGATAATAATAATTTATAAATTAGAAGAAATATAATAATGTGTATATATATATATATATATAAATAATTAGGACTAATGATAAATTGTGATAATAATTATTTGAATTATTAATTGATTGGTTATATATAGTAATTTATGCATTTAATATTATTATAGCAATATATTATTGTGTATATAGTAATTTATTCATTTAATGTTATTATTTGATTAATATTTTATAATAATAATAAATTAATAATAATAATTTATAAATTCGAAGAAATATAATAATGTATATGTATATAATTAGGACTAATGATAAATTGTGATAATAATTGTTTGAAT